TGATTGGTGAGGCCTTAGATAATCAAATTCCTCTTCAGGTGTCTGGAACCATTCAGCCTGGAGTCTCTGGCGGTTTCCAGTCTAAAAATCATCTTACACATTGAAATTAAAACCTTCTTTCCTTTAAGTGAGAGTTTTAGAGGACAAATGGCCCTCACTCATGGACCTTGTTGGTCATTATCATAACCAAAGTCTGAAGACTTACGCCTTACTCCTGGTCATTAGAATGCAAATGGACTTTATATTTCAGGAACCTTAGAAAATACATTAGGGGGTTCTTGATCGGTTTCAATAGTAACTGAGGAAGACATATAGGGATGGTTCTAAGTTTCCCTCTTATCATTCCTCACAAATACAAAAAGACCCAACAGAATGTTTTGGTCAATATCTCAATTTCCACTGAGGCAATAAACTAATTGAGCAGTTCATCAAAATAAGGATGCTCCTATCATTGAGGCTCACACTGGGCAGGAGTAATTAGGTAACCAAATTCCTCAAATTCTTCACCTGTGAGAAACATGCTCAAGCAAGTGCAAGAGAAAGCCCTGGAATTCAAACAAAGACCATAGATATTATGACAGACCTCCCACTGTCGAATATTAATTATCACCTCTGGTAATAAAAATAGCACTTAACCAGTTGCAAATGCAGTTGCTACCTAGCTCAAACAAATGTCTTTTGTGTTATCTCTTTTCTAAAATATTTCTTTCCTCTTAAATACTTTTTTTCACCTACTTTTATTGTGGTCATGGCTTTATTTCATGCCTTAGGGCAGGTCTCTAATTCTAGAGATCTGGACCTAAACAAGCAAAAATTTTACACAACTCAGCTTAGCACTCCCCCATCCTATGACAGTTTCACATGTCATAATAATCATTGAATCAGTCACACCCTAATGTGAAATAATCTATACTTCACAGAGGCAAATAGTAGTTTTTCTTTGTATTAGTGAAAAAAGATCCTACCCTTTCTGAGAAATAAACAATCTAAAATAAAGAAGTAAACGATGACACATTTCTTATACCTATGTCATCAATAAACTCTAAGTGAGCTTCTTTTTTTATGAAAGAATTAATAAAATTCTCTAAAAACCCAACTTAAGAGCCAGCCAGGAGTATGATTATTAAGGTGCATGGATCTCATGTAGCCCACTGCACAGTTTGAGTTCTGAATATGGCAGCTCAAAATACATGCAGGGCATGTGTGCACAAATGCCCCAAATCCTGAGGGGAGACTAGAGAAGAAGGGATTGTGGTTTGTTCATAACCTGTGTGTGTGAGGTGGGGAGGGTGATCACTCAATTTCCCTATCCCCCTCTCTCTCTGTCCAACTCTGGTGAGCACACACATTATGTCACAAAAGTACCAAAAAAAAAAAATTCATTCTTAGATCAGGGCTGATAGGTTTTCATTGTAGTTTACATTTTTAAACATTTTTATTGAAAAATAAATTTCTTCACGATACTTTTATTAATAAAAGATTGTTTATAATAATTATTTTCCTCATGTTCACAGTTTCTGTACATTTAGGAAAGAAAATAAATTATCATCCTTGAGAAAGATTATTTAAATTTTTATTGACAAGGATAATTATAGACAAAGATCATGGATATAAGTTTCAGTTATGAACTTTTTGCTAATTTTCTATGTTATAAAGCATGCAAGCTTTTTACAATTTCTTTCTTTTCCCCCTGAGTAGACAGAGAGACAGAAAGAGGTAGGCAACCCCACTAGGGTCTTGAAGCCATCATACACTCCCAGTCTCAGTGAGCCCTAGATCATGGGCACATCTGCATTCACCATGCTCGGGGAGGTCCTGAGACACAAACTGTGCTTACCATCCTCTCCATTTGCTCCCATTTCTATTTCTTCTTGAACATTAGAGAAGAAACAGCACAGGTATAGTGTCTGATCACCTAGCACTCCTTTGTCACTAATAGGGCCTGGTCATGTCTCAATTTCCCTCTTCTTCCATCTCTTCACTTTTTAGGGATTTGGGGCATACATACATATACCAGCAGTGTGTCAGGATTGGAATGCAAACCACACAGTCAGCAACATAGGGTCTGGCTGTCTTAACCATCAAGCCCCAGAGCCAGCCCCCAATATAAAATTTATCCTTTTTTTTTTTTAACGTTTTTATCATAGGGCATGTACATTCACTGGAAAGAGTCAGAGAGAGGAAAGCAAGAAATCACCTCCTAAAGAGGATAACCATGCTATATGCCCTTCTCCTCCATTCTGCTCTTGGAATTTTCAGTATGACACACATGCATAAGATGTCTTTCAAGTTCCAAGGAAGAGAACTCAAACTGCACAGTCAGCCATATGGGATCCAATCACTTTAACAACTATACCGCTTGCTAGCCCCCATAGTGTGTATTTAAACATCTTTAAGCTATACAAATCTAGTGACTGGGATATTGGGGTGATTAGTACCAATAACAGTGCAGAATCTTGTTCTTGTCTCACTCTCAAGAAGAATTAGAGACACAAACATGGAAGTAGGATAGCAAAGCAGAGTTTACTGAAGGAGAGAACAACACCCAGGTAGCAAAGAGGGGTCCTGGAAGGTGTTTTGTCAACTTGGGGCTCTTATCAGGGGTTTTAATCTTAGCCAGAGGGAGTTGTTCACATTTTGTTTCCCAGGGGAGGTTACTTGTTAGATATGTCATGCTATTCATTTAGCGAGCTGTACATTTAGTGAACTCGTGGTAAATGGATGCCATGTCTTTGGGAGCTTCTGTCCAAAGACCATTATATAGAAATCAATGTTAACTCCTTTCTTTCTTTGAGAGCTTTGGGCCCTAAAAACAATGACCTAGATTCCAGAATGAACTGCAGACATGAAAAATAGCTACCTTAGATTAATCATTACATTGTTGCAAGCCATGTTTTGTGAATAAGTAGTTCCTACTTCAAGCTTGACTATTGTGTCCCCATCTTTGGGCCTAATGTCCTGACTACCTATTTATTAGGGTTCTAGTTCTACAACCTAGTGAGTAGGGTTGTAACATAAGTAGGATAATACTACAAACCTTAAACAGAGCAAAGGTCTGCTCTACTCTAGCCCTACAGGCCAATTCATTATGATTAACTCTCCTCATTTTTATTTTTTTTCTTTATGTTATTTCAATTTTTTAGATTTTTGCTATAGGACGAGCGCATTCACCAGAGAGGCAGAAAGACAGAAAGTGAGAAATTAACACCTAGTTGGGACCAGCAGTTAGCGTAATGGCTATGTCGTTGGACTCCCACGTAGTCGACCATGGTTCGTGTCCCATACCCGGTGGCTTAAAACTCATGCTGGGCGCGTGTGCATGCATGCCCAAGATCCCGAGAGGAGAATGAGGAGAAGGGATTGCGGCGTGGCCATCCCCCCTGGGGGGTGATTTTTCGCTTTCTGTCTCCCTGTCTCTCTCTTTCTGGCAAGCACACGTGCCCTATAGCAAAAACCTCTCACCAAAAAAAAAAAAGAAAAACAAAAACAAACAAACAAACAAAAAAAAGAAATTAACACCTAGTGGCAGGGCCACAGAGCAATCACTTCTCTTCCATTCTATTTTTAGGATTTGGGGCACAAATACACACATGTTCAGCATCAGCTGAGTTAACTGAAGGAAAGAACAGCAAGCCACTGGGTTGGGGACTTGAACCACGGCTGACTACATGAGAGTTCAGCAACATAACCATTACACCACCTCCTGGCCCCAATTTATTTATTTTAAAAAAGATTTTTTGCCATAGGTTGTGTGTTCTCACACAGGAGAGACCGAAGTAAAGTGAGAATTAACCCTCTCAGAGGAGACGGCCATGCTAAAATCCCTTCTTGTCCATTTTGTTCTCAGGATTTTTGGGAACACACACACACTTGTTGCCTTTTGTGATTTTCAAGTAACCAGATCTGAGATTCAAACCATGGTCAGGCATGTAGAAATCCAGTGACTTAACAGCTTACCATCTGCTGGCTATATCTCTCCTCATAATTCAATAAAGCCCTTGAAACTAAACTATGTCCAGTTTTAAAGTAATTTAGATCTGTGAAGCAATTGATACTACTATGTCATAGAGAAATATTTGAACAAAATAGGATAGTTGAAAGTATTTTTACTAGTTGGAAGGAATTGTTGAGAGATTTAAATTTGAAGGTAAACCATAGGTTTTTGGCAAAGCAGATGCATAAAAATGGGAACAATTTCCCATACACTCATAATTAAGTGTGTGTGTGTGTGTGTGTGTGTGTGTGTGAAGCAACTTGAATAAAATTAGTTTTTAGACCACCAACACTAGATTGTCTACCTTCCATAAGATTTTGAACCTTTACTTGCTAATAGGGAAAATTACTATTAAATTTGGAAAAAATTCTCATCTCTTATCCTGAAAGAGCAATTAAGACAAATCTTAAAAAGACTGAGAGAGTGTCCTATAACGAGCATCTCCAGATCTCCAGGACTTTCTTTCAGGAGAGTATGAAGATACAAAGTTTTAATCCACAAATATAAGCAGACATGTTATATGGAAGATTTAGAATATCTGAAGAACATTTTCATACATTGGCTGTCTTTCCAGCAGACATGTTGGATTATGAAGTGCCCTTAGGAAAGTAAGCCATGTTCAGATAAAAGATACTGTAAAGGATCGAAGGAGCAAAGTGAACAAAATTGCCAAACAGTCAAACTACTGAAAATTACTGATCTTCAGATTACTTTCTCTGACAATACATGAATAGAAAAAAAAAAAAAACCTCAGCTTTATTTAATAGACTAATATATATTTATACAGACCAAGAAATGATACTAGCTGATTCAAACAGAATTGAGAGGAAACTGCCTAAATAGTACTTTTAATTATCCCCACCACTCCTTTAAGGAACTTGAACCTAGTCATCCACTTAACAAAGAAAGTTAAAAATTTATTAGGCAAACGTAACCTAAAATGTGACATCTAACCCAATAATATATATTACTACTTCTAGGAAAGTTTAATCAGAGTTTAGTATTTTTATTTCCCCAATTTTTGCTTTCCCATAGCTTTCTTCAATGCCTCTTTTACATCCTTGTTCCTGAGGCCATAGATCATGGGGTTAAGCATTGGGATCACTGAGGTATAAAACACAGCCACCATCTTGCCCTGCTCTACAGACTCCTCTGTAGGTCGTCTCAGGTACATACATAAGAGGGTTCCATAGAAGATTGTGACTACTGTCAGGTGGGAGCCACAGGTGGAAAAAGCCTTTTTTCTCCCCTCTGCGGAACGGCTTCTGAGGATAGCAACAAGGATGAACATGTAGGACGTGAGAATAATCAGAAGGGACTGGACATTGCTGTAGCCAGCTACTATGTACATCGATAACTCTTTGCTGTAGGTGTCAGAGCATGCCAGTTTGATAAGAGGAGGATCGGCACAGTAGAAATGGTTGATTTCATTAGCGCCACAGAAGGAGAGGTTGTAGGTCCTCAAGGTTTCCATCACACTGAGAAGGAAGCCATAGACATAAGGAATAGTGACCAGGCGGACACAGACACTCTTGGACATCTTGCTGCTGTAGAGCAGAGGATTGCAGATGGCCATGTAGCGGTCGTATGCCATGACAGCCAACATACAGTGCTCCGTGAGGACCACAGCAATCACGATATAGCACTGCACCAAACAACCCGCATAGGAAATGGTCTTCTTCTCTGATACGAAATTTTCTAGCATTTTGGGAGTGACATTTGTGGAGAAACACAGATCTAGAACAGATAAACTTGAAAGGAAAAAGTACATAGGCGTGTGAAGTCGAGAATCAATTTTGATTAAAATGATCATGCCCAGGTTTCCCACCACAGTGACAATGTATACAATAAGGAACAACACAAAAAACATGAGTCGCAACTCTGGACGGCTTGTTAGACCCAACAGAATAAACTCTGTCACTTCAGTGTAGTTAATTCCGGGCATTTCCTTGTGTCATATGTGACACATTGGTTTGATTATCTAAGGAGAAATAGGATAAATAAAAAAGTTATTTCTTTCTTGATCACTGAAACTATAGTTAAATTTTATATTGTATGTAAAAAGAACCAAAAGACTTTTGTTATCTATGTCAGTAGCATTTCTGTAATCACATATGAGTATATTTACCAGAAAGCAAATATTAATGATTTTCAGCAAATGGTTTTTATTCAGGCTTAATTTGTAATCACTCTGCACAGGAGGTTCATGGCAAGATTCTAAATTAAATGATCCCTATACTTTGGAAAGTTTATAGAAAATCTTCATAACTTGTCAAATAATAAATCATAATAGACATTTAGAAAAATTTAAAATCCCTGTGCACTTGCTTTCATAAAGACACGAAGGTACATAGAAAGTCAAAAAGAACTTTAATGATAACCCAGGCAAAACTGCTCATTCTAAAGAATTGAGAAAATGAATCCCAATGAGGTGAAGTGATTTGCCCCACTCAGACTCTCTCATTTTCCCCATTCAGGTTCTCTACATAATCAACAGGTTCAGCTTGCAATCTAGAACCTAACACAAAGTGTTGTTTATTTTGTTGTTTTTAGTTGTTAAACTGAACTGTTTGGGCCAAAAATAACTGATGTACTCTCATATTTGGATTTGTACCTGTTAGACTGCTTTTTTTTTTTTTACCTATTATTAAATTATAGCTGTTTGTTTAAATAAACTGTTAAATTTGGTTTGTCTAAATGTACTTTTAACAGCTAGTTTCAAATACTGTTCAATTGACTATGCTGCCTAAATTTTAACCTGTTTAAATTTATTTTTGGCTTACTTCATGAAAACTTTTCTTAAAAAGTCCACCTTAGTCATCATACTAGTCCTCCTTGTACACTCTGTCCTCTCAAGTCTTAAATGATTTACATGCAGCCAGCCATCAAACGCTAGTCTATTTCAGCCAGATTCATAAATGCTTACAAAAAAAACTCCATGACCTCTATAACACCAGGTTTGACTTTTATAACATCGTAATTTGTAGATTCCATGCCAGAGACCAAAAAAAATTTCTAATTTCATGATGAAAACAAAACAAAACAAAAAACATCATTCATAATCATGACAGAGCATGGTGCCAATGCCCTAAGTTTTGGTCAATCTCTCAAACATTTGAGAGGCTGACCAAAAGGCGGAGGTGGTGGTGGTGTTAACCTAAACTTTTCTGGCCTAAAATGGCTGATGTACTCCCACATTTGGATCCCTCTAGATAAGCCCAAATCGTACCTCTTAGGCTGGGATCTTTTATATTTTTGGTTACTAAGTTATAGCCAATCATGCTAGTCACATTTCCTCAGTCACGAAAGCAAACAGCCTGCCTTCCACCTATAACCAGTAGTTTCTCTGCCTCCTTCCCTCACTTACATTTCTGTATGACACTTTCCCTTCTTTTACTGCACATGTCACGTTCCCACTCTGCCCACATATATTCCCTGAAAACCTCACGGTTAGCGGAGTCCCACAGAAGCCGTCTCCCTGGAAGCTGCTCAATTTAAATCAACTGCCCTTTGTTTAAATAAACTGTTAAATTTTGGTCGGTCTGCATTTGTTTTCAACATACTGGTGGTGGTGATGACGATGTGTTGTTTCTGTGTTTTATACATTAATTGTTTCGTTACTGAGGTAAATGAATGTTTTTATTTGAATCATTTCATTGATATGACCTAATTTCATATATTTATTTTCATTTTCCCCGGCGTAATTTAGCCAATCTGCTTATTAGATTTAAGCAAACAGATTCATGCCCTTTCATAGGCACCTCAATTCTATGTATTACTTTATTTATATTTGAGTTCTTAGCGCATGCTTTAATTCAATCTTATGATTCCATTCTGCACTAATTTAGTACATTCACTCAGCAGGGAAGTACCTTTGCAGTGCAAAGCTAGGCTTATGTTTTCTTTGATATTACTGTGCAAAGCAGTCCAGGATCCCTGAGTTTCTGTTCTCTCATTGTGTTAACCTTGACAAGTAGTTTAGTCATTAAGATAAAAGGAATGAAGTAAATCAACTTTAGTTGATAAAAAGTTAGTTTCGAGGTTCTTAACCTATGCTTCTTCCTTATAAATATTATAAATATACCCCGAAAATTCAGTGGTCTGACCTATTTTATTCTCAACCTATGCTTATTCTTTATTAATATACCCAAAAAACCTCAGTGGTTTGATCTTTGTGGGCATTATCAAATATACTTAGATCTGCTCAATTTCCATTTATGTGTGCATATTATAAAAAAAATAAAGAGAATATAAAATTTTTGTGTAGCAGGACTATCTACTTATTCATTTAATAAATATTATTTGAATACTTCTTTAGAAAAAATCCTAGCGTGGAGCAAATATATTCACAAAGGAAAATATCCTCCCTGTGAATGATCTGAAATAAAACAGTAGTACATATATAAACACTGTGTGATTAAATAACAGTGAAGAGGCTATTTTAAAATTACAAACAAATGTTAAAACAAAAAAAGTAAGAAACGGAAAAGTTGTAAAATAAATATAGACCTAGATTGATGGAATCAGGATTAAAATGTGGTAAAACCATGTATTGTTCAGGAGAAGGGTAAAGGTAATGCTATTATTAACTTTAGATATTTTATTCATAGTAAAATTCTTTTTTTTTTAGTGGTTTTTGCTGTAGAGTGTGTGTGCTTCTCAGAAAGACAGAGAGAGACAGAGAGACAGAAAGCGAGAAATCACCCCCCAGAGGGATGACCATGCCGCAATCCTTTCTCTTCTCAGGATCTTGGGCACGCAGGCACACCTGCCTGGTGTAAGTATAAGCCACTAGGTTCAGGACTAGAACCGTGGTCAGCTATATGGAATCCAGCAACATAGTCATTACAATAACTGCTGGTTCCCATAGTAAAATTCTGAGAGCAACAAAATGAAAACATAAATACAATAGCAGATAAACTTCAAGCCAGTACAAATGATATTTAAAATAAAACTTTTAATACTTATAAAAGGCAAAATGAAAATTGAAATACAAAAAAGCAAGAAGGACCAGGAGGTGGTGTGACGGTTAAGGTCCTGGACTTCCACATGGCCAACTGCAATGCAAGTTCTGGTCCAGGTGGCTTGAGAATCTCTCTGGATATAAGTGTATCAAGCCAAAACCCGAGAGGAAAGTGGAGGTTCGGGATTGGGTGTGGCAGTCCCTATTTCTCATTATCCTTCTCTCTGTATCTCTCCATCACTTTCCTTTCTGGTGAGCACACACACTTATGACAACAACATTCAAGCAAAAAGAAAAAAATGATAAAGAGCAAGAAAAATAGATACAAAATGAGGTAGTAGTCATAATTCCAAATATATCAATGATTACAATAAACAAATATAGCTCAGATTTTCAGAATGGATATTAAATGAAATCAAATTAAGGTTTTTTGAAGGCTATGCCTAAATTATATACACATGAAGATTTTTTTTTTAAGTTTATTTATTTCTTACATGACAGAGAGAAAAATAGACAACCCCAAAAGGGTCCTCACGTTCATCCACACCCTGCCTCAGCTAGCCTGGGTCACACATGGATGTGTGTCTGGCATGTGCAGGTTCACCCCAGGATGTGACCACAAGACCTTCCCACATGGTGCAGATGTGTTACTCCTTTGTTGCCATCTGGCTCCTTGTCCCTCAGTCTTTGTGACAAGACACTGGAAGCCATGACACTTGCCTGGTTTTCTGGTATGACAGGCTGTTCTGGTCTTCTCTTACACATTGGAACCAGTCAATTCTCGAAGACCCCTACTTTTCATAGCTAAATATAATTTGAAATGTCATCACTAATAAGTTGTTCTTTGTACGCCTTTGCTGTATACAGAACTAGAAAAAATAACATATGAATTTAAAAGATAAATCAGAGTTTACACTGGCATTTCCAATTCAAAATCTGGATACAGGATTTTTACTTATCCTCAATAATTTTGTCTCCTTTCAACTATGTTGAAAGTCCCAGTTCACAACCAACCGAAGCATATTTGATTTTCCCAAAATATAACAGAATGATACTGCACTACCCACTTACCACCATGTAAATAGTTTTAGAATTTTACAGGTTTTTCTTTTTGTCCAACAGATATATCCTACAATAGACATATAGTTAACACTTTGTATTTTCAAAATCACTTGCTGTGATCTGAGTGTTTATACTGCAAGTAGGTATCCAATTTGAAACAATAGTTAAACTTGTAAGATATGTAGTGTAGTTACAGCATACCAGAGTCAAATCTATAAAGCAAAAATATATTTTAAAAATCCCAGCTACTATCTGTTCCTTCTATTTCATTTTCTCCCATCATCTATAGGTAAGCATTGATGGTTTGTAAGCTTTAAAACATCAGTATACTTAAGAACATTCTGGTTTCTGAGGAAAGAACTCTTACAGTTCTGCTAAATGATTTCTTTTCACATAAAAGATTTTTTAAAAACTATAAGTAGCATGAGTCAAAATAAACCATGCATAGTGCTATTAATATTAAGGAAAGTTGGTGTTTACTTATTTATTTATGCATTTATTTTACTTTACTACTTCCTATCCAGCTTATGTTGAAAATGATGAGCAAATTAATAATAATTTAACAGTTAATACTTAAAGTTTTATTTATTTATGTAATAGGGGTTGTTTTATTTTATTTTTAAAATATATTTATTATTTATGTCTAATCACTATACATCTTTATAGTGCGCAACATGTTTTTTTCCCAGCATGAACATAGTACATAATGCCAAGACAAAGACATTCCCATATACATTATCATCAGCAAATAACTTTTCAAGTTTGTGTCAGTGAAATATATTTTTTATTTCTCTGTTCCCCTCTGTTCCTCTCCCTATTACCCACCTCTTATGATCCCCCCCTGCTATCTCTAGTATCTACAATTGCCCTACCTGGTGTTATAGTTTTCAATCTTTCAGTTTCTGCTATAGTGTGGAGAC